GTTTTTTTAATTACTAACTTCAAATCCTCTCCGAATATAAACTTCGAATAGCTAGCAAATAGTCTTGGAATATTCATGACCATGCATGCTTCTTTTACCAGATTTTAAGAATCCCTCTGTATCAAATTAAGGCATTTATTTAACCAAGTTAATATATATATATATATATATATATATTAATTCGTTCTATTTCTAGATAACTTCAATATTATTCTTCCCCATCACTACCGCTATTTTTATTTTATTTTTTCTCTTATGAATTGACTTGGACTCTTGACTATTCGGCTTTTTAATGCTTGTGTCATGGTGCATTGCATCTGGGATAACATGTACAAACTTTTCGTGTGTGGGGGTGTCTTTGGGGTATATTTTAAAATTTATTTTTATTTAAAAATATATTAAAATATTTTTTAATATTTTTAATTTTACTCTAAACATTAATATATCAAAATTATTGAAAAATTCCAAATACATTTTTTAAAATATATATATAAATAAAAGCTATCACGGTTTCAAGCCTAACAGATCCAGCAAAGATGATCAAATAATCTTTCCAAAAATGCTTGACATAGTTATATATATGAAGTTATAAATACGAGGTTGAAACCTGCGAGAAATTGTTGCTTCTGAAACCAAATTCACGGTATCATAGCAAGATTTTCAGCAGCCAAAAGAGAATAGGAATCCATTGTCTTCATAAAGGAGGCCTTTGAAGTCTTGCTGCGCTCATCTTGTTAGGTCTAAATTCATGTTTTCCGGGAAACTTCGACACTGAAGAAACTTTTGCATCCGCTCCGTGCCAAAAAAAAAAAAGAATAAAAAAGCATTAGCCCAATTTGGCAGAGAAAACAAACCTTTCAAATTTGGGCCCAGAAATGGACAGAATCCCAACCTTCTTTGTCGAACCAATGGTGGGCCTACAGTCCAGCATGTCCTTGCCTGGGGACCATTCGAAAGACCCAAAGTTGATTCAGCCCAAGGAGTTAGCCCATAGTAATAAGCTGACATTGTAGACCAAAATGGGGGTTGCTAAAAATTTAAATTTTATAAAAATAAAAAATATATTTTTAATTAAAAAAACACTTTGAAAAATTAATATTTTCAGAAACAATTCCTGTAATAAATCTGGTTCAAAGATATCAATTTAGGTTACTAAATTGAAAATGACCTTTTTGGGTGCGTATCCATCCTGCTCTTATTAATAGCAACTAATTTTTTTATGGGTCTAATTGACAAATTCAAGAGACAGAGCCCCCAAGAGGTAATATACAGAGTTTTTTCAAATCCTATATGTGGGAAATGGTCGTCTTACACGACTTGTTTCTTTGTCGTTTAATAACAGCTCAAAACCTATTCAGCCTTTTTATCAGAGAAATAATTGCTTCTTTTTTCTCATATTTAGTTTGGTTATTTTCACTTCTTTGGAAGGGAGAGAGACCCTGTTTGGTAGTAAATTTCAACTTAATTTGTATTAAAATTAAAAAAAATACTTCAAATTAATTTTCTTTTAATGTATTTTTATAATTTTAATGTGTTAATTTCTAACTCGTGACAGTTTATAACTTCTGTGATTTTTAACTTTCCAAGTCTTTGTAGTTATCATGAATGCTCTTGTGCTACAATAAACTTAATTTTGAACGTTTTCTTTCTGCCGGAATCTGATAGTAATTTCTTTTTTTTGAAGTTGAGTTTTTCTGTTTGAAACTAGTTATTTAACTTAGCCTAATTTAAATTGGGTTAATTTTTTTAACAAAAAACAATATTCAAATTTTTCAAGTGTATTTTTTTAATTATAAATTTAAAGTCCTACATGTATTTATTTAAATATATCAAGAATTATCTTTACTATGAATATAAAAATTAAAGTGATAAAGTCCCTATATATTCAACCCACCTCACTCACTGTATGTTGAATAATTTTTTATAACGCAAAAAAATTAATGTATAAATATTATTAATATATTTTTTTATATCAAGTAAAAATACAACTCTAAATTAAAAAAAATTAATATTTATATATAATAAAAATAATACATATTAACAAAATATATAAAATTTTAAGTTAATTTTAACCTAACAAAAAAATAAAACAATATTACAATCACATTAAAAAAAAAATGAGATATAAATAGACGAGGTTAAACTTCAAGCGCTTGGCCTATTGATGATGGGCTCCGCTATCAGTGGGTGTTTGTTTCTGTGGTTGCTTTTGTTTTTGAAGCAAACCACAGAAAACAAATGTTTGGTAACCGGGGAAACGTGAATTATTTTATGAGGGACCCACCATGTTTTATGTTTTGAACGCAGGTCAGCAAATAGCAGTTTTATGCTACTTCTCTCTGCCTCCATACACAATAAGCTGTTCACTTTTGTAAAAAGACTGTTCACTTATATGTACAGTGTCAATTGTTATGACCGGGAAAGAGAAGAAGTTTACCCGTGCTGGAGATGAAGCATATGGAAATAGTGCACTTTGGACAATGCCTCTTTTTTTTTTTAGTTTTCTTTTTTTACTAATTCTTTCCATTCTATTACTTTTTTTTTTTTGTTCTGGTATGTCCTTTCTCTCTCTACTGATTTTTATTTTTATTCAATTTTTATTTTTATTTAGAATTATGTTTTATTCAAAAAATTAGAAAGAGATTGTTTGATAACATAATAAAAAATTCAGTTTTTGTTGTTGCGCATTTAAGAAACCATAAAAAATATAATCTTTATTGGATAGATTTCATACGTGATGAAATTATATATAATTTAATGGAATAAAAAAAAATATTTAATGTCAATATTATTTATTTCATTATATAATAAAAATAGTTAAATCTACAATATTTAAATTAAAAATTATTAATATATATATATATATATATATTATAAACTCAATTTGAAAAACATTATTTTAACCAAACACATTAAATTAATTTTTGTTCAACCTTAATTTTAACCATAATTTTAACCAAATATATATTTTTTCAAACCAACCTCAATTAAAAATACTTTTTATAAAACAATTTTTTTCAAACCACAACCACAATAACAACTCCAACACCAAACACACCCTCAATCTTCCTCGCCAGCGAATAGAACGATTCGAGCGGACCTCATTAATTAAAAAAAACTTCCTTCACTGTTGCAGGCAAACATTTAGTAGGAGGTTTATGATACTACAAATCATGTTTTCAGGTTCACTTGCTTGACATTTTCAAGGAAAAAGGCTGTTGTTTATTCTTTAATTAATCATTTATTGTAGTGTAAAGAGCTTGGTTTTCTTATGATGGGTTGTTTTGAGTCTATCTAATATTCTTCGCCATTTATGGGCAATGTATGCTACCATGTCTGTTTTTTTAATGAAAAGCAATATCTATATGGAGAAGGCAATTCAATGCCTTGAAGGAATTATCTAAAAGTATTTATTAGATCTTATTTATAGTTGAGTTGGGTTTAAAATGAATAAAAACCAATGATGTTCAATGTATTTACTTAAGAAATTGTTTAATGTATTTACTTAATATCATTGTTTTTTATTTGAATATTTGATTTTCGTTCTTTTAACATAAATGGTCTAATAAATATATTCAAAAAATGCTTAACTGGTGCTCTGATGAACTTGCACCGCCACCGTTAATCATGTTGGCAGTGCTGTTGAGAGAGTGATTCAATTCTCTTCAATAATTAATAACGAACGCGAGTTAGTTTCTCGGTTATAGGGATTGTTTGAAGGGATGAAAGAATACGGGAGAGAAGATGATAGACTCATGATCTTTAGGCCAGAAGAGAATGCTCGACGCATGCAAATGGGAGCAGAGAGACTGCTGCTGCAACCACCATTAACGGAGCAGTTTATGCCCTTGCAAACGAGCGTTGGGTGTTATTATTATTTCTACCCTCTGTTTCATCTTTTTGTTCTTGCTAAAACTAATTGCCATGCACATGATAAAATAAAAGGGTAAGAGAATTTCTTTTCTGGACTGGAACAGGTGCCTCCCCGTGGGATGGGAACATTGTACCTTGGGCCTTTGCATATGGGAAGTGGAGCTGTTCTGGGTATTGGACCAGCTCCAGAATGTACCTTGTATTTGCTTCTCCTATTAGCAACTCTTACTACAATACTGATCTTACTTGTTTTTAATATGAAAAATAAAGCCGTCTTGTCTTATTAAAGATTAAAATTATTTTTCTTATCATTCCCGTTATTCCATAACAGCACCTAAGAGTCTAGAACTCGTTGAAATCCACGTAGTGGAACTCAGCGTATAACACAAACACATCTTGCGTCTTCTCTAAGACACCGTCAAAGGTTCTTGCCTTCAAAACATTTTCAATAATAATCGTCAAGAAAATGAACCGTGGAACATATAAATTACAGGTTTTCCATACTGATTTTATCATTGTAATGACATTTGAGATATGTTCTGTGATCAAAATAAAGGACGGGTCTAGATATAATAACAGAAGGTAAATGCAAGCAATACAGCGGGAGGGTACAAAAACTTATCTTATAGAGAATAGTGTAAGTGAATCCATACATGCTTTACTTTTCTCGATAAATAATGATAAAGGAGATCTACTGTTATCAAGGTAAGGAAGAAAGAGAACGTATTCCACGACATAGCTTATCATTGGCCGTGGTTTGCTGCCATTTCGCAGAAAGAGCAATGGAAGTTGTTGAAACATCAATACTTTCAATCGTGTGACTGGAGGTGGAAAACTTGGCAGGCTGGCTTGTATGACTTCTTCAACGAAGCCTGCTCAAACTTCTTTATGGCGGGTTCATTCACTTGTAAACCAATCTGAACAAAGTACCTTATCCACCAGGATGAGCTCCGAAATTTGGCCTTCACAAAAATAGGAATTTAGTTAGTATCTCTTTAAGACTAGAATCTCAGTTTCTCTAATCGATAAAAGGAAAAAAAAATCTGTGGGAGGCAATGAAGATTAGTGCAAGCAAGCCATGAGCGCAATATAAAGATTCAAATGAAAGCATCGATTTTATCCTAGACATGATCAGAGTTTTCATATTCCCCATTCATTTTCTCCCTTGATGGAATAAGCAAACCTTCTCAACAACAAACGACATAAAGCCCCAAAGGCATAGAATGCTCATCCAACAGACTAAAATCTAAGAAAAAAAATAAGAAGTGGCATAAAATGACACCCCAATGTCCAGAGAAAATCTCTAATGTAAAATCAGAACAGTAATGAAACATTGCCCACTTACTGGACGACCAAACTTGGACATTTCTGCAACTTTAACTCTTTGCTGACCTGGATGGCCTGTAGAAAGAAAAAGGAGATCAGCAATCAAATCAGAAGATTAATTATTTCGAAAGACAGAAAATCTCAAACAAAAATGGATCACTGGCAATATAAACAGAAACTTCTTGCATGTCTGTTAATGACATGGCAGAACAAATAATTACAATTTCCAAGGAAATCACTCTTCTAATCACTGATTAAGAAATAAAGAACGATCAGTTTTGACTCTTTAACATCAATGCATCTTTCTTGGCATGGGAAGAGGAATGGTGATAAAGAGAAAGAGGACTAAAGTTGCAATTCCTCTCTCTTAAGTTCAATCCTTACTAGCAGCAAGGCTGTGACTAGTTTGGGTTATAAGCAAGGTGAATGTGGTTTAAGCTTCTGCTGTTCAAAATGCCACAACAAATTAGAAAAGTTTTTAGCTTGGATTTGATATGCAAGAATTCATGCAGTGGAGACTAACAACATAAAACAAAAATATGCAACATAACCAAATACCAGAAAATATAACTAAGCCATCAGCTGACACTCTCGCCAATTCTGGAAGAGTTTTGTTGAGATACTTCGGAGACAAATAATCCAAAGCGTCCGACACTACAACAAGAGAGAATGATTTTGCCCGGTAGGGCAAAGGAAATTTGATGTCAGCCACACGAACAAGGCCTTTGCGCACAAGACCCTTGCAGCTGGCACTCACATCATCTAAGTCATATGGTTCCACACCCCAGGCCTCGGTATCCTCTTCTTTTAATAAGCTTGATACTGCTAAGCAAGTGTCAGGGCCAACATGCAACACTTTACGCATGCTGTCACCATGAGCCTTCTTCAGAATAGGTATCGCTCTTTGGACTTCTGATGTGCATGAAACACCACCTGAATATGCATATCCAAATCTCAGATTGCTGAATTGTTTAGCCCAGAAATTTTCACACTGGCAATACTTTTCTAGACAAGAGAATGCAAATGCTTAAAATATAAGATGTGCAGGCTCAAAAACTTTCTTAATAGTCTTCAATGCTCCACATAGGAAACATTGAGAACAAAGATAAATGTGCAAAGTCTAGTTCAGAGGCAAAGCTGGGGCCCGCACCCGCCCCAAGTATTTTCAGGTGCTCAGAGCTCCCAATAACTCTTGGTCACAATAAGAAAGATAACATGGACATACAGGTCAAAGATAATAAAGACAGCTAATGAAATTATATCACAGTCAAGAAGCTGAAGATTTGAGCCATTGTTTACGTAAGAAATACGCTCAACTCAGAATTTATATTGAAGCGGTGCAAAAATAGACTACGTCTAACGTCTACCATAAAAAAAAATCCAGGAGCTCTCAGCCGCCTTGGTTTATATGATTTTTTTTTTTTTGGATGATAAAATTAAATAAATTCCCATTCCCCCAAAAAATAGAACAGAAATGTACGAAAAACCCACACACAAGTAATTGGGCACGGTTACATGGTCCAATATGTTAGTTAATCTAATGGACCCAAACAACTCAAAAATACACACATAAAGATATCATACAAATTTACCTTCTGCACTGCCTAAAGCTTCTCTATCGCTGGTACGCCCACCTGTCACACAACCATAACAAATTCACTAAAAATAGTACTGAAACAAATAAAACTCTCCAATTCAACATCATTTGCCTGCATTTATTAAAATCAATGTCAGCAAAAGGAAACAAGAAACACATCACAGACAGTTCTCTTTCCTTGGCTTTTTGTTTAATATTAAATATTAACTGTTTTCCCTTCTTTGCATCCACAAAAAGATATAGCTACTATTTGTATTAGCAGACGAAACAGAGTTGATGCATCTAGTTCACTTAAACCAGATCCTGCAGTGAATTAGCATCAGACGAAACAGATCAAAGTTGGTAGAGAAACCACATACCTGAACCACTGTAAAGATATCCAATGAGAAGGATTGCGCCCTGAAATCAACAAGGAAAAAAAAAGGAAATGAATCAGCAGTTTCCACAGTAAAGCAACGTACTTGATTACAAACTCAGCATCCCAACGAAAATGCAAATCACAAGAGTTGAGAAGAGCAACCACAACAAGAAGGCCAACGGATAGTAGCGGCGATGAACGTGATTTAGAATGCATTGAACCAGCAAAAGGAAGACTCCCCCCATCAGCATAACGTCTAGCAGGATTCCCTGGCCTCCTTGACATTATTATCTTTAATTCAATCTAAGACAAGAGGGCCTGAAATCAAACTGTAATAGGTCAATTAAATGCGGCATTTCTGATCGCATTTAAACAACACCTCTTCTATAGCATCCCAGTTATCATTTCATATTCATTAATTCGGCAATTTTCATTTTTAATGCAATATAAATCACAAAGTTACCTGAGAGTTGAGGTAGATCGAGAAATTGAGAAAAGTTAGGTCTCAAGATCTTTTAGAGCGCGATCCGGCTGCAACTGTCGGTGTCTTACTATTGTAAGCTCTTTGGGTGAGAAAGAGAGAGAGAGTTGAAGAAAAAGGGAGGGGGGAGGAAATTTATAGCGTCTTAATCTGGTGATTTTTAAAAGTATATTATTTTTTTAGATTTGTAGTAAAATAATTTTTTAGAAAAACATTTTTTATTTTTATATTGTACATCAGATCATTATAAAAATATTAATTTATTAATAAAGATATTTTTAAAATACAGTAAAAAATACAATATTGATTGATCCAAGTTGCTTTTGTTTACTAATTTATTTATTTACTGAGTCGAATTTATCCGTTTATATTCTGTTGCTGAGTGGAATCCAGCAAGCGCCACAGCGGGGATTGATTTGATGCAGCCTCGACTGGATTAATCGTGGTCTTTAGGCCCAAGTCTGTTTTGAAGACGAGAGGGTCCAAGTATGTTCAGCCCAGTATAGGCCCAACCTAACCCTTGCAACAGAAATTTCAAGCACTTCTAATTAGAAATTGACATGTCATAAATATGAAAGAAACACATGAGACACCTACAGCAAGCAGTGTAATATATATTTATATAGACATTATGTTAGTAGAAGTTTACTAAGAACTGCGATACCGACTTTAGATTTGGTGAGCAAAGATCCGGGTTTAAATCTTGGACCGTCAAGTTTTATTTCTTTATTTACTAACTATTTATCACTTGACTTCAACAGAAATTTAGTACTTGGGTGCAGTTTAATTGTCGGCCTAGGGTGACATATATAACTATTGGATGAGAAGGTTTTGGATGTATTAAGATAAATGATAAAATTATAATTTGAAAGGTTTGGTAGTATTTATCTAATATAATAATTATTAAAAAATTTAGTAATTTGTGAGAATTTAGATAAGAAAACTAATTACATAAAAAGAAAAAACATTACTTTTAGTATATTGATAAGCTATATTATTAATTAATTATTATTTTTAAGATTATATTTTTATTCATTTATCTATCTAAAATTTAATAAAAATTCATTTCAATAAAAGATTATAAGAAAAAACATTACTTTTAGTATATTTATAATTTGTTTTAATATGTTTTTTATAGGCTTTTCTCAGTCTTATAACTCTGATCGTGAGTTTAATAGATTAACTTAATTTGCTTTTTAGGCTTTTTTTTTAATTGATTTTTTTTAATTTTATTCTTCAATATTTGGTTAATAAGGAATTATGCTTCATAATTTGTTTTTATTTGTGTTTTTATATGGTTATTATAGTCTCATAATCTAGGTCACCAAATTGATATGTTAACTTGACTTAACCTAAATCAATCTCATATATTGTTATCTTAATATTAAAAAAAATCATCTTGAAAATTTTTATAAGTCAAATTATGTTTTTACGGGTTATTTGAGTTACTTTTGAACTTACAAAATCAACCTAGTCACATCAGATTAATCCCCACATAATTCAATTTTTTTTTCACCGGAAAAAAATTGAAATATTAGCAAACTTGAATATTTTTTCTTTTTACTTTCAAATTTTTTTTGACCCGATTCGCAACGGAGTGCATGTCAATAATTTAGTAAACTCTAAATTGCATGTCTATTCCACTGTAGTATAAACATCATGCTTTCTTTTACATTTTATCATGACTCATTATGATTTTTTTTTTCATTTTAATCATAAAAACTTTTATTTTTGATGATTTCATCTTTTTGTAGCAAAATTAAAATCTAATTGCTTTAAATTTATTAAAAATGGCAACATTAAAAGGAGGATTAGAGTAAAAAAGACACGCAAAATGATTGATGATCTTGTAATTTGGTAAAAAATTCACTTTGGTCCTCTTACTTTTCAAATTATAACTCTTTTAATTTTTAAAAAAATATTTTTATTTTAAAACTCTATTTTCTTTATTTTTTAGTTTTTGGTTTGTGTGGGGAGAGAGAAAATGGTTAATTTTTAGTAGAGAGAAAGTCTTAATTGATATCAATTTCAATGATAAAAATGGTTAATTTTAGAATTAATGAGTTCCATTCAATGAGAAAAGTTTATTATATATGTTATTTGCCCTTGGCCTTGCCTGAGATGATAGATTTGATTTTAGAAAGTTCTTTTTTTATTTTGGATTGATTTTGGTTTCTAAACTGTTTTTAGGTTGTTTTTTTAGTGCATGAGTGAGTTTATCAAGATGCGTAAAATGTTTTCTAAGGGTTTTGAATTAAAAAAATAGTTGAAAATTAAGTTATTAAACACAACTAGATATATGGTCTATATTATGAGCTCAAATATCTTGATTTAAATTTTTTTTTAATTTTTTTAATTTGATTTTTTAGTTATCGCTGACGACTTTGCTTTTTTTTTTTGTTTATTGGCATGAGTGATTTTCAATTTTTTTAATTAAATTCATGTATAATAATTTTTTATTTATGATTGAGAAAGTTATAAAAACATTTTTAAAAAAAATACATCTTTTTTTTTTAAAAAGAATTATTCAATATGCAATTAGACTAGTGAATTTCGGGAAAGTGAATTCCAGAAAAGTGAATTATTTTTTGATGTTTGGTAGTGTAATGAAAAATAAGTTGGAAAATACTTTTCAGTATTTGGTTATGTCATAAAAAATGAGCTGGAAAATAATTTATTAATATTTTATTTTTATCAAGTTTATTAAAATAATGAAAAACAAACCTTACAAATTTAAAAGTTAAATGAGAATAAAATTGAAAAAAAATATAATTTCACAAATTATCTCAAATAAAATAAATAACAATCAAAATAATAGAGATCAAATCTTAAAAATAAAAAAATAAAGAAATTAAAATAAGAATAATTAATATTTCATAAATTATTTCAAATAAAATAAGTAACAATCAAAAGAATAAAGACCAAATTTGATAGATAAACAATTTCAATAAAAAAATAATAGGAAAAAATAAAATAATAATTATAAAAATAAGGACCAAAATTAATATAAAAATTAAATTTTAAGAGATGAAATTAAAAAATAAATATTTAAAACAAAATATATATAGTAATCAAAAGTTTGAGAATCAAATTTGATATAATCATCAAATAATATGATATTTTAAAATTTTTTATAACTTTCAAAAAATATTTTTCGCCCAAATTTTTAAGAAAAATACTTTCTTGAAACCAAATTAAATTTTTTTTTTGTTGAAAAGTATTTTTTATTGATTAATTGTTTTAATAATAAACAAACACAAGAAAGTTTGAAAAGTAGTTTTTTAGAAAATTTTTTTTTAAAAAAATATAACCTTAATTAGCTAATAATTAAGTGTGTTTGTTTTTGTAGTTTAATTTATTTTTTAAAATATTTTTATTTAAGAATATATTTTATTAATTTTTTTAGATATTTTATTTTTATTTAAAAATATATTTTGTTAATGTTTTTAGATATTTTAATTTCATCGTATTAAAAAAGAAATCATCTCATTCTTATTTTTAATGAAAAAACCCTTTTGCAAAACTGCCAGGTACGCATTGCTAATAAAACACTGTAGCTGTCAATGTAAATATCCTGACAACGCTCAATAAATCCAAGAAACAGACAGCTACATGGCTGCACCTCACAGCTACAGCGGAGGCACGCACACCACACGTCATCCTCATACAGCGCTAAAGACAGCCCCTCTTCCGTTTCCGTCTCTCCATATCTTCCTCCCATTATTTATTTACATCACTCTCGAAACACCTCCTGCAAATCTCTCTCTCCCTCTCTCTGTCTCTTGCCCTCTTTTTCTCTCTTTTGCCGGCAATCATATCTCTGTACACAGAACAGCACCTCCTCATTCTCTGCACAGAACACACAATCCACACGTTACGTGGCTTTTACGTGTTCATGCTTTTTAGCTGTTTAATTTAGTATAAGTAGTTTAAGAAGGATTGGCCTTTTTTATTCCTTCCTAACCGTTTCGAAACGCGCTAGCTGATTCGAGAAATTTCAAAGAGAAAATGGAGGAGATATTGCTCTGGTTGGTGTTTCTCTAGACGATTAACCGCTACTGAATTGACTGAATTTTGAGAATTTTAGAAGAGAGATGACGGTGGAGTATAGTTGCTGCGAAACGAATTTCTTTATACACATTGTGATAATAGTGTTTCTTGTTATGTTCGCTGGACTGATGTCTGGCCTCACTTTAGGGCTCATGTCTATGAGTCTCGTTGATCTTGAAGTTCTTGCTAAATCTGGTACTCCAAAAGATCGAATATACGCAGGTAGAGATTTAAAATTTCACTTTCGGCATTCTTTTCTTTCCTAATTTATTTAGATCGTTTAAGTTCTGTTTGGATAGTGAGAAAGTGAGAGAAAATAAGTGAGAAACTTGTGATTTTGGACGGGTGGAGTTTTGTTGTATGGGACCCAGGGAAATGAGAATTAGCTAGACTTGTTAAGTGTGTTCATTAGTTATTACAATTACTAGCCTGTCTTTTAGAGATATTTGGCGTTGATTTCTTAGTGGTTGTTGGCTTTAATCTGTACGAATTAATTGGAATCGTAGTATTTTATGCTGAATGCTTATTCCATATAAGAAATTGACGCCGGGGTTATTATAAGTTTAATTGCGTGTGGTTATGTGCTGCGGACGCTGATTGCTTGTTTCATGCTGTAAACAGCGAAAATATTGCCGGTGGTTAAAAACCAGCATTTGTTGCTTTGCACGCTCCTTATTTGCAATGCTGCTGCTATGGAGGTATATGATGTAGAGAGAGAATTTATAAGCTTTGATTATTGTTTTTCGAATATGACTTGATTATGGAATGTCTTTCTTGTTTTACTTTGTCAGACACTTCCCATTTTTCTTGACAGTCTGGTTACAGCTTGGGGGGCTATTCTAATTTCAGTAACTCTGATTCTTCTATTTGGTGAGGTAAGGCATCCATGTTGGTTTGTGCATTTTTATTAGTTTAAAGCAATCAGGATGCACGGTAGAACCACGGAAGTAGAGGTTCATGAGTCTTAACTTGTTTTGGGTATGCTACTTGAAAATTAGTTTCTTTTGATGCCAGATTTTGTGATGATCCACTTCGTTTTCAGACCTAGTTCTTGCACTGTTTTAAATATTCAGACATTTGAATGTTGTTGCTAGTTTTCCTGGAAAAAGATGCTTCTTGGGAACAATGGAAATATATAGCCTGGTTCTTCTAGAGTTTCATCTAGAATTATCTTTTTAAGATGGTAGGAATGGTAAAATGGTTTATTGGTCCGCTAATTGCTCTTTCGTTTGGATGTGCAGATTATACCACAATCTGTTTGTACCCGGTATGGTTTGGCAATTGGCGCAACAGTGGCCCCATTTGTCCGTGTTCTTGTTTGGATCTGTTTTCCTGTTGCCTATCCTATAAGCAAGGTGACTCATATGTAGGTTAAAGCTTGCACATAGTTGAACCCTCTTAAATGGAAGAGTGACTATTCATTTTTGTGTGATATTTCCAGCTTCTGGACTTTCTGCTGGGACATGGTCATGTTGCTCTTTTTCGCAGAGCTGAGTTGAAAACACTTGTTAATTTTCATGGTAACGAGGTGTGTTTTGTGCCCTTCAGAATTACACATCCTTGAACAGAATATTATGCTTTATTGTCAATTTGATGATTGGCTGTCTTAATAATTATGGCCGCACAGCTTATCTGCTAGCTTCTCGTTATTGTTCTTGTTTGTAGTCTTTCATTCTGCCTCTCAAGCCATCAATTTGATGCAATTTTCTTCCTTTATTAAAATCTCTTCTATTGCTTATAACTTGTGTACAGAATCTGTTGTCTGCTACACCTTATTTTCTTTTACATCTTCCATCAGCTTTGTAACACCGTTGCTGGTGTTTATTAGGCTGGAAAAGGTGGAGAACTGACTCATGATGAGACAACGATTATTGCTGGAGCACTTGAGCTCACTGAGAAAACAGCTAGTGATGCCATGACTCCTATATCTGAAACTTTTGCTATTGACATTAATGCCAAACTTGACAGGTGTGGTGCTCAAAAAGGGTAAACTTAAAAATCACTTGCTTCTGTTGCATGACATTCATTGTGATTAGCCGCATTATATAATTTCTTTGTACAGGGAGTTGATGAGTTTGATATTGGAGAAAGGGCATAGCAGGGTGCCAGTTTATTATGAGCAATCTACAAACGTAATTGGACTAATTCTGGTAAATTGATGATAGTAACGTATCCAGCAACAATGAAAAGAGATCTTTTTTTATTTTTTATTTTTTTCTCCATATACTTGGAATGCCAGTGCACTGGTTGAATAACATGGTATCCTGATAATCTCCTTCTCTCCGCCAACATTAAGCTTTTATTGGTTATCTTCTGTACCTATTCTTTGTGCTCGTTCCCTAGCAATTCATGCATGCTTGAATTGCAGGACACTATTCCCTATTAATTTTTAAAATTGTATGATGTGAAGAAAAGGTCAAATATGACGGAGAACTGTGTCAATGGCCTCTTGACTATGAGATTTATTGGCAGTGTTAGAAAGAAAGAAAAAATTGTTTGAAAGTTTAGAAGCCAGCAATGTTCAATATTATGATGAATCATTATAATATACGGACTTTCAGATTATCTCTTAAGTAAATAAATGGTTTAGTCACATGTTTCAACTATTAAATAAATTTTAAGACAGGGGGTGGTGTGTTGTGGAGGGGGAGGGTCTACTCTGTAGAGCAGCTGCTGTAGGCAAGATGAGAAGAGTGCCTCCCTTCAAATTAGCCTTTGGAGGAACCTTGGACCATGGCCTCTGTGATATGCTTTTATCTGTTTGAATTTATCATCTGATGGGTAGACATTTCCCTTGTATTGCTTGCTTATATTAATGCTGTCTTTAGGCGTTCCTTGAGGCCTGCTCCATTATTTTTTATGTTCAAAGCTAATGTATTTCCCCAAGACTTGACATAGGAGACATCTTTTTTTTTCCCACGTGGAATCTAACTTCAATTTCTTACTATTTAGTTTGGAATTGAATATTAGATCTTAAAAAGGTCTGCTTATAATTTTGGACTGAGATTTGTGTTCTCTCTTTATGAAATCACCAAAAAAATAATGTTGGAACTTATAAGCATGTTCCCCTAACATTGACATGATGAAGAGATAGGATAAACCACAAGGGGGCCAAGTGCATTGAGAACTTGAGCATGGAAAACTGCAAACAAGCATAACTATGGGAAGTGAGGCATAATTTTTGCTAGGGTAATAAAATAAGACTATTCTTACATGCTAATTGATTTTGTTTGGCACTTGATTTGTCGATGATCTCTTGCCTTTACTTTCATATCTTTTGATCAGAGTTCACACGCCAAATCAATTGGCAGAAATTTTTGGCTGCTTTTTCTTGAACATGTATGTGTATTGTGATCTTTTAGGCCAAGAATTTGTTGACAATTCACCCAGAAGATAAAGTACCTGTAAAGAATGTCACTATACGCAGGATCCCAAGGTATCATTTAGGTCAACAATTGTATTTATGTAGATGTTATATTTTTAGTTGTTCTTGGACAGCAAAATGATGTCCATTGTTACCTACAGACCGATGGCTCTAAATAATTATGTGTTGCAGGGTTCCAGAAACTTTACCTTTATATGATATATTGAACGAGTTTCAAAAAGGTCATAGCCACATGGCAGTTGTTGTAAGGCAGTGCAAAAAGCCAGAGGAGCAGCATGTTAGCAGTGCTGGTGACGGTAAGTGTCAATTCCTATGGGATTTTCCCGCTATTTGTTGTCCCAAGCTGTGCTAAAATAAACCTAATCTGGAGAGCATCGCTCTTTATGACAAGTAAAATCATTTAGATAACTGTGGCTCTCTTGTCCCTTGCACACAACAGATCCGGTGAAAGAAGTTAAAGTTGATATCGATGGTGAAAAGCCTCCCAAAGACAAGAGTTTGAAGAGACCACTTCAAAAGTGGAAAAGCTTTCCCAACAGCGGCAACAATTCATTTAGGAGCTCAAGGAGCAAGAAGTGGGCAAAGGACTTGGACTCAGACATCTTGCATCTAAATGGGAATCCACTACCAAAGCTCCCAGAGGAAGAAGAAGCAGTAGGCATAATAACAATGGAAGATGTCATTGAAGAGCTTTTACAGGTAAGCGATATGTTTTGCCATTTATACCACATATGTATCTCCCTCCATTTTCCATTTTCTTAGAGATTACCTCATGCTGTGACCTGGTTTGCCAACCATTTAGGAGGAGATCTTCGATGAAACAGATCATCATGTTGAGGATTCTTGCACTGGCCTTGCTAAGCAGTAGAATGTACTACGGCATAGACAATGACGAAAAAGTTGTTTCTGATGGAAGATTGATTATGCAATGATCAAAAGTTGTAGTTTCATTAGTGGAACAAAAAGGATTGTTTAATGAACTTTTTTCGAATGAAATGTTGAAATGTTTTAATGTCAGGATTGAATATATCTTTTTACCGTGTTTTGTTGGCTGGGTCTCCGTATCAAATTAATTTTGAAGAGGTAGTGTGATGAAACAGTCCAGTAATTTTGAACTGAAGTAGTGAAACAATTCATGAACGATCCCTCGCAACAGCTCACCAACTGACTTTCGCGCTATACCAATACCTAAATCAGCTAGTGGTGGCCACTTAACTGGGCGGGATAGGCTATCACAAACTGCCTCATATCACATTTTTTTTTTTTTTGAGTTACGTGGGGTGTCCGAGCCAGCTTGCGTGTACCACGACTAATTCTCACGGCTCATTAAATATCTTGCAAACTCAATAGATATGTAAAGTATCACGGGGTGACAAACATGTATGTTAGGGTTCGAACCCAGGTGCAGTGAAAATAGATTAATCCTCGTATCACATCTTTATATATATATATTTGTGTGTGTGTGGGATGAATATCCAAGAGTGTTGTTTATTAGTTTCAATTTATCCTAATGAATTACATGCAAAAACAGTCACTCTCACTGTCAGTGGAACTTATTGTAAAGTAGTAGTCGATTTATATAAAGTAGTAGTTAAATTTTTAGAACAAGTATGTTTGCTCTAGTATTTTGTAATTAATATTATTAGATATATGAGTTCTTTAGAGTAGAAAAACTATGACTGATTTTTTTTTTGTTTTTTTATGGTATTAATAAGAAATAAATATTTTTTTTTACATATTATTAATAAGAAAAAAATATTTCTTTTATATAATTAATTATATGGAAAATATAATAGTTCTATTGAAAGATTTTTTATATATTTATAAATATAGAGGATAATTATATCTGACTCAAACATGAAGGATTCATATAAATAATATGAAGATATAACCTTACAAGATTGTACCATGGAACTATAAATTCAACTAAATACGAGTAGTTAAACCTGAAAAAATAGATTTGAAGCATTTAGGTAATGTTAGTTACATATTGAATACCTTCAAGCCACGTCACTATTGTCTCACGTGCTCTCTTGCGATTCTTGTCTCTCCCTCAAAACTAGAAGGAACTCAACAACCCAGAACACTCTCCATCTCGGAAATTGTTACCAGACAAATTAACAAGAACTCAAGCCTTTTGACAAAAGTATTGCCTACATGCTGTGATTTACCCGGAAAAATAAAATTATACTTTCATCTTTTTTTTAAAAAATAAAAAAATAAATTAAATGAACTGGAGAGTTAAATGAATCTTTTCACGGGGTTTATTTATCTTTTTTTAGTTGTTTGAGGTAACATTGTCGTTTTATAATTTTTAGAACAATTAAATTATTATATTATCCTTAAAAGCAGGAAAACAAAAACCTTGGGTTTGGAGGCTTTTCAGGAATTTTACTTTTCTATGAACACTGTAACGACTCAATATCCGGGTTTCTTTTTGCAGTTAAGTTGAGTCACCGTCTCTTTTTATGGGTGGGTGCAAAGAGTCACGATCTTTGGCGGAACAAAACAAAAAATAAAAATAAAAATAAACCACACACACAAATTCGAATGGCAATATGTAAGCAGCGCCCACACAAATTCGAATGGCAATATGTAAGCAAGCACGCATATGAGACGATGTGAGATTTGCTCCTCTTTGCGGCCGTCTGCGTGTAAAAGATTTAAATATCCCTGGTTTGTTTGAGGAGGTAGAGTTGTTTTTAAAAAATTATTATTTTTTTATTTTTTATATTTATTTATTATTAAAAATATTTTTTAATTAAAAAAATTTAACTTATTTTTCAGAAAAGTATTTTTTTTATTTTAAACAAAAAATATTTTTCAGAAATTATAAAAAATTTAAAAATACTTTACTATTTTTTTATTATATCAAATTTATCCTTAAATTTTTAATTTGTGTTTTTTTTTTAATTTTATCATTTTAAAATTAATTTAATTTAATTTTTATATCAACTTTAATCTTTATTTTTATAATTATTATTTTTTTATATTTACTATATTTATCCTTATTCTTTTAATTATTATTTATTTTATTTAAAATAATTTATAAAATTATAATTTTTTTAATTTAATCAACTTTCACCTTTTTTTATCTCTTAAATTTAATCTTTATTATTTTAATTATTATTTATTTCATTTAAGATCATTTATAAAATTAATTTTTTTTAATTTTATTATGATTCAACTTTTAATTAGTAAGATTTATTTTTTATTATTTTAATAAACTTAAAAAAATATTAATAATTTATTTTTCACAACCTAGCCAAATACTGAAAAATACATGATATTATTAAATATAAAAAAATAACTCACTTTTTTAAAATTTATTTCCAAGAACCACTTTTCAAAAATTTGGAAAAAATACTCCTTCAGCAAATATTCTGGGTCTTAATTCTATTTGCTGTAAGATCATGTTACTTTTCTTTTTTTAAAACAGCGTGTCGCATATTATTTGAAAGGATCTATGCCTACAATTCAAACTACTCTTGAAAACCTGCCTCGAGAGAAGATGCACATGACATGAGAAACCCGACAGATGCAAGGAAAAAATATCATTACAGTTTCCTTAGTGGGAGGAAATTTAAACAATAAATATATATTTACGTATAAATACTACATTCTTGCAAAACCTGTATAATACTCGTGGTAGTTTGAATTTACCAGGACTTAATTTCTCATTCTCAAGATGTAATTGCCATGTCATGTCAGCATTCCAGGTATTCTTAGAACTATAATACGTATTGAGCACAACTAGCTTGTGAACCTTGCATGGGAACAATGGTGTACAAAAAAAGGGCACTTACTAGTGTTTACTTCGTTTCTCATCCTTTCTCTTCCTTTTCTTACCCCTCGACTTTTCTTTAGATCTGTGCTTCCTGGAATGCTCCTTATCCAAACTCTTTGAACAAACCTTCTTTGCCCTTTTAAGCCTTTCCGTGCCAAGCTCTTCTTCAGATGATGCACAATATTTCTCTGGTTTAAAAACAACACCCAGCAGCTTCGCATCCGGGCTTCTGTAAAGCTTTTCCTCGTAATCTGGACAAGGTGGAAGGTAAGGCCCTGTTTCATCCATCCTCGAACCTACTGCACCTCGACCTCGCTTAACCCTGTCATGAGCAAAAATATCCATGCCAAAACAGTAAGTTTTTTTTCCCCTGAGAATTTTGAAAAAAACCACAAATGATATTTGGGCAATAAAATGAGTCTACAGATGATGGAAAGAACATGTGTGCGTGAGAAAAAGAGTTTTTCAATGACCTCGAGTGTAAAAATTCCTCAACTTCTTCATCCCTTAAACCTTCATCTTCTCTTGAATAAGAGCTCCCTACTCTTTTGCTTGACGATGATGACACCCTAGTATTGTTCTCATTTACAGAATGCCTTCTGCCTGTACGTCTAGGGATATCACCAACATCCCCATAGTTCTTGCTGCAGTTATCATCATATCCTGATCCTTCTCTCAGCCTATCATCCATCTTGAGCTCCTTTTGCCGGACTCGCCACATCTCATTGACCTCAAAAGCTCGATTTGCTGAAAAGTGTCAACCAATAAAAAATCAGACATGAAAGATATACAGACATCAGTGGGCATTAAACAAGCCAATTCCAAGTCCTCTAAACAAAAACAATGATGAAATCATGAGAGAAGGAGAAAAACATACATGAATGACACATTTTAAGATAGAAAAAGGAAAAGAAATGAAACAAAATTGTTCTCATTTCATGTCCCCATAAAAAAATTGGAGCATCATTGCATTGTACACATTTTTCAAGCAGTCCTTAATTGGTGCATGGATCTTTTTCTATGCAAGTCAATTTTAACATGTCAAAATATGCTAGAAATATATTGTAGAATACATACGCATGTATCCAAACAATCACGATCCCATAATCTCATGATCCAGTGGGGTTCCGCTTATTATCAGAAGACAACCTGTTAGATAATCAAGCACAACATTATTCTTTAGAATGAGGCATAACTTTATGCTTTTTCCATAATCCATTTTTGATTCATCCATAGCTGGACTGCAATTACAAAATGTCGGCCAACTCACAAAAATCTTTTCAAGGAACCTGGATAAAAACTTTAAGGCTGCACAATCATGCATGAGTACACAAAAATTTTTTCAAGGAACCTGGATAACATCTTTAAGGCTGCACAATCATGCATGAGTAAAGCACGGAGCCACTTGTCAGGTGAACTCACATTCTTGTCTGATAGCACTAGAACATTAAAAGGAAAGGTGACAATCTGAAAACTAAAAGCAATGAAACACTGACTTTGCTGCACTCCAATGACAGTTGCAGTGAGGAAGCGAGAATTTGGCCGTGCTCTTACTTTAGGCTGTTCAAGGTAAACATGCACGCCTTCCCTTTCAGCTCGTTGCCTCAATTCTGCTGCTTCTTTCATAAGAATAGCAGCTATTCTGTTCTCTGTCTCCAGATCCATTAAAACCTGCTAAAAAAAGCCCCAAAGCACTAGTGTTGTGAGTAACACAAAGAAGAGCATAAAAATTGGCTTGGCAGCATAAATATACTCAACTAATTAGACATCTAATTTACAAGCAGTAAACTAGCTTGAGACTATATTTTTCAATAGTTCACTAGTGCCACCATTCATATGCAACAACCAAAAATGGTTTTCCTCCCAATAATCTGAATATTCTCCAAAGCTCAATACTTTTGGCATTCCAGATTTTGATTAAACATTTCTCAATGAGAAAGAAAAAAATCTAACCTGTTTTGAGAAATAAGAACGTACAGTTTCAAATTTAGTTCACATTGATTATTTGTCGAGTCTTCCAATTTAAATATGGTATGAAATAGTTTGTCCCTGCTTCTCTAGAATTTTTCCTAACAACAAACATACCTGTTTTCTTAGATGGTTTTGTTCTTATCATGTTGCTTCTTTTAAATCCAAGTTTATATGTTTCTCACAATCCAATACCTGTTTCGATTGGTTGACCAATAAAGATTGATCATTGATCATGTGTTGGATTGGTATAGAGGACAAACTCTCAACTTTGTGCCCGTGAAAAAAAAGTTATTGGGTAATTCCTCATTGGAAAAACCGTGGATCACACAAACAATAGCTCCTCTGCTCAGCAAATCACACTGCAAAAGGCTAGTTAATTAAACCCAGCACGATTTTCCATTCAAAATAATTTAAATTTTGAGTACCATTGGACCCAGTCTAGTTTTGTTTCAACCAATTAAATTAGCAAGAAATTCAAGCTTTTTATATCCAAAATATTGTTTTTGATGAGAGATAAACAAGTAAAAAAGGTGGAGCTCATTGAATTTTGAGTAAACAAAAAATGGAGGTAAGCAGGGCATTAAGAACCTAACCCAATTAATCCAATTATTAATTAAACCTAGATATTATTGTCTAATACAATAAAAATAATCAAAACTTCGATTTTCTTTTGTATTCCTCAATTTTCTCAGTAACCAAACAACAAAAGCCGAAAAATATATTTTGGAAGCCATTAACAAGACAAAAACATACCAAAACGATTGAAGGAAAAGGCAGATGTGAGGGAAAAAGGAGATCCCAATCTCAATCGAAGCAAAAAAGAATGTAGCTTTTGCTCTCCCTCCTTTCACGCTTTCGGATTGCAAAGAACACCCCTAACCCTGGTTTTTACTATTATCCTCTTTTCAAAAATGCCCGTTAATCGAGCCCGAGTAAGTAGGGATATGGGCCGGTGTGAAACATAGCCCATTTCTTCATTGGGCACCGGGACACCGAGTTTTACGTAACCGTTGATCCCGAAAACGCTCATTAACTCAACGTTGACCATGAATCTCAGGGTTTTGAATTGAACGGAAGCAACCGTTATTAGCTAACGAATGGAAAACACGAATCAGGTCAGTCGATGCTACGTGATTCTTGTTGGCTCTTCTTATTATTTAGAAAAGGAAGCTGGAACCCTTAACTTCCTTTAAAAGCACCGTAGTACACGACACTATAACTTCATTGCCCTCTCTCTGTCTCAGTGAGTGAAGTGCACACAAAATCGGAGAACTGTGGTGAAAAAGCGAAGAATGTCGCCGACGCAATTTTTATCGACTTCAATTTCTTCTTCTTTTTCTTCCCTTCCTCGGCTTTTTTAGCCGCCCCTACTACCTTCAAAGCTAGGTACTTGAAATCATTATTATCGATAATCTTGATTCCATAATTGCCTTTTGCGTTTCGGTTTCTTAATCTATTTCATTTCGAGTTCACCCTCTTTCAGTGCAGAAACCAGAATGTTGAAAGGAAATAAGATTTCATAAGTTTATCTTTATCTATGTTTATGTAATACGTCGAAAGTGTTTAAGTTAAACGAGGTAGCTAAAGGATTACCAGAAATAATGCGTCATTTTATTTCTATTAAAAGCTAGTTAAAAAGATAAATTATTTCTTATTAAAAGCTAGTTAAAAAGATCAGTTATTTCCTATTAAAAGCTAGTTAAGAATGTCAGTTATTTCTTATTAAAAGCTAGTTAAGAAGGTTAGTTACAATTTATTACAAGTTTGTAAAAAACCTATAAAAGGCTAGAGTATTGAAAGTAAAGGGTATCATTTGAATCCTAATTATAGCGGGTGTATCTGTGGAGGTTTCCTGGCTTCTCAAATTACCAGAATTCATTTATAATTCTTTGGGTATAACAAGTTGGTATCAGAGCAGATGTTCTTGTGATATAGCTGGGGAACAATACTATCCCAATTATCTAAAACAATAAACAATTTACAAGGGGTAAAGAGCAATCTAGGCATGAAATACTAATAGAATGTGTGCTATAACAACTCAATAATTTGACATCAAGCTATAATAACTTATAACTTGATGCAAATTGCAACTAAAACCAATTCAGGGCGAAGGACTTTTAAGAGTGTCAAAGTAAATGCTAATATTTTGTTTAATGGACATGGAGGAATTCAAGTTCGATCTCTTCGATTGGATTTTCCTTGTTTTGATGGGGGAGATCATAGTGAATTGATCTTAAAGGCGCAACAATTATTTAATTATTTTGAGACACTGGAGAACCACAAGTTAGAATTTGCTTCTTAAGTTAGAATTTGCTTCTTTTCACATGGAAGGGAAGGTGCTGACTTGGTATTATTGGTTGCAAGAATCCAGCCCAGTGACCACATGGGGTGACTTCTTAGAGGCTCTCCGCACCAGATTCGGACCTTCAGCATATTAGGATTCAGTAGGAGCATTCACCAAATTAAGACAAATCAGGAGCGTAGAGGATTGCCAAACAGATTTTGAGATCTTGTCTAATAAAATAAGTGGGGTAAGTAAAGAGTTTTGTATAAGTACCTTTCTAAGTGATTTAAAAGATGAATTGTGAATTATTGTTACCATGTTCAAACCAAATACTCTTGTTGCTGCTGCTTTTTATTTGGCTCGGCTGAAATAAGAAGAAGTGGTCAGAAAACATTTCCCTCGTCGAAACACTCTAGGCCAAAATAACTCATATACACCCTCATTCAAGGTCACTCCTCTCATATTACCTAGACAAAATCCCATACCCAGATTACCAGCACCAAATCCAGCACTTAGACTTCCACCACCCCCCCAACAACCAAGAATGAATTCATCATTCTAAAGAAAAAACCCATATCCTATAAGATGTATAAGTCCCAATCAAATACAGGAAAGAAGGAAAACGATCTATGCTATTTTTGTGATGAAAAGTACTAACAAGGACACAAATACAGCAGACCAAAACTATACTTACTCAAGGAAATGAAATTTAAAGAGGAGGAAGAAAAGACATTTAATCAATAAGATACAAAGATTATATCTGCATTTCACCAAGCTGATCTATTAGGCATATCCTTGCATGCTACTGTAGGGGCATTTTATCCCAAAACTACGAGATTAGTTCGGAAAATTGGAACATGTTTAGTTATTGTTCTCATTGATACTGGTAGTACACATAGATTTATTAATGTGAATGTGGCAAGAGGAGCAAAATTACCAGCGGAGGAAGGGTCAATTCAGTTGAAAACAATGGTAAAATTAAAAAAATTAAAAGTTTAAAGATTAATTAAGAATAAAATAAAAAATATCCAAGACCAAGAATCATGATGAAAAACACGATGGAGTTAGGGGGTGCTTTTGAAACTAGACAAGGGTAAAATTGAATTGATTTTTAAAATCAAAATTTAATTAAGGATCTAATTGAATAATTCAGAATGGTTAAAGGCTAAAATTAAAAAAAGGAGTTTTAATCCTAATTTAAACCCAAAAAGCCAAAATGATGATATTTATTTTAAATAAAATAACATGTTTTGTATAAAATATCATCATTTTATTAATTAAAAAAAAGGAAGAAACAACATCATTTTAAAGGGTATTTTTTATTATCTTTTATCCAAAACAAGTAAACACAACCTACTTGGAAAAGGGTTTTGGGTACTATTTTTCCTCTTCATTATAATTCCAATGATTGAAAAGGCTTGCTCTCCTTAATTTTCTAATAAAGGAGGATCTTGTCAAGCTTGTTTCAATCTTATCCCTACTCTGATATGTCTGCGAAGTAGACCCACCTGACCAATTTTGACAACCTGTGATAGTGATTTTTAGCCAATAATTAGAATCCTTCCCATTTGAATCAAGAGCCAAGATTTGTAAGTAATAAAGATCATATATTCCTTTTTCATCTTCTATAAATAAGGGTGAATTTTTTACAAAATTGGGTGGAAAGCAAACCAAAAAATCAGTTTTTACACATCATTTTTTCAGTTTCCTAATCGGCCTTGGTTCCTTCTTATCTCCTCCTTAACCTATGAGCAAGTCATACCTCTAGTTACAACTCCTTCTTTACTATGACCATCTTTAATTCTCATTCAACCTTTTTTCCCTCATGATGAGAGAACTATTAAACCAGGACAACAACTTAACCTCCTCCCTCTTGATTTCCTTTTAGCTAACCCACCATGAGAACCTTCATACAAAATGCATGTGAAGAATTTAAGAGTTTTTTTTTACTACATCTAAAATGATTTTTTATCCATCAAACAAAAATGTGACTTGCAGAATATTATCAATGTTAATCTCTAATGCCTTTTGAATCTCTAACAAGAAACACATCCAACTCTCGTCATTTTCTATATCAACAACTCCAAATACAAGTGGAAATAACCTATCATTAACATTAAAAGATGTGGCTGAAAGTAAGATGCCAAGGTATTTGCTCTTAAGATGAATTCCACCAAGCCCAATAATAAGCAAGTAACCATTCAGAAACCCATGTATGGATCCATAAAAATACTTTAATAGCCTCTGAAACAAATTATTTGCATCGGTGGTGGTCACTTTTGTAATACTTACAGGGTTAGTTCTCTTTAATTGCTTGCATTATAAAGAAAGTAGACAATATCCTCTCATTCCTTAGCAGACCAGGCTTGCTTATGTGGAATAATTATCTTTGTTGTTGATGGATAATAATATATCCTTTGGTTTGTAATTGGTGTTATTTCATAGTTGTTCCCTATAAATCTCACAATCCAATCTATAGAAGCTAATTTGTTCATTTCTACCTTCAAGACAGTATGAATACATTCAAGACTTTTTACTATAAAGGTTGTGACATTAGAAAACTTAACTGCATAAACACGCCATGGACAAGCTTCTGAAGCACACTTTTTAAAGTATGGAATCAGGTCACTTTTTTATAATATAAAGTTCAAAGTGTTGTGCAATTAACACTCCTTTAATTACATTCTGAAAAGCCTTGACATAAGAAACTCTTTACCAATAACAAAAGCATAGTCTTTCATATGACATCTAAGAGATATAAATGAAATCACATAGTTATACAATATTAATTTTTATCATTAGATTAGTTGTGTTTTATCCCTTTTAAATCTCTCATCCAATCTTCTTTTATGATTCACTTGTCACGATAATATATCTCTAATTGACACTTTGTAAAGTCCTATATATAAGATATATTGTTATCAATAAAATTATCTTTCTATGAAACTCTTTATGATATTAGAACCATTTTTTTCTAACAAGATTTTTTTTTCCCTAAAGGCTACATCTCTTGAATCAGTGTTTATTAACCATTTTGAACCAACTAGCAATAGTAAGACTACTATTGTTACCTTCAATGTTGAATTTCAATTACCTCTGAAGCTAACTTTTTCTAAGTTTTTTTTATAATGTGCCTGACTGATGTCCTTACTTATTGGCTATGATCTCTAGGGCTATATTAATAATACTATTGTATGTTCGTCATCAACACTTCCTTCTAGCACCTCTTCTGATGGCTTAGCTTTTATGAATGCTCATAATCTAGCCTTTAGGCATTGATTTAGACAAGATAAACTGATTCTTCTTGTCATCTTTACATTTTTCTTTGAATCAGTTATGCCTCTCATTGCTGCTTCATCTACTACTTATAAAGCACAATCCAAATTGCAATGATTGTAAGCCAATCTTCATGTACTCATGTTATACAACTTAAGAAGTGTTTAACTCTTATTCAAAGAGAGTCTCGTTTGGTCTCAAAATATCTTCATGCCATCAAGGTTATTGTTGATAAACTTGCAGTGATTAATTGTTCCATCTTAGCATATAACATAACTTTTTATGTTCTTAGTAATTTTGGCTTTGACTTTCGTTATATTGCAGCACTTATTTGAAACCGTAAGTTTTCTATTACCTTTAAAGAGCTTCACGATATGCTAATTTCTCATGAAAGTTATCTAAAACATATTAAAACTTCAAGCTCCATCATTATTGCTACTGCAAACAGTACTCAATGTTGTCCTATAAATTCTAAATTCAATCGCAACCAACACTTTAACAATGGTTCCTCTAGACAACATCGCACCAATTATAATCGTAATAGTCACAAAGAATGATCTAGTAAGCCCTAAATTATTTACCAATTATGTGACAAAGTGGGACATTCAGCCAATACTTATTATGTGGTTTCTATTGACAAGTCTATGAATTGTGCAACTACTAATAAGTCTAATAATAAGAAATGACTTATGACTCGGCTGCTTCTCGCAACATTACCTCTAATCTTGTCAATTTATCTATTCACTCAGAGTATGATGGCATTGATGAAGTTGTTATTGGAGATGACTCAAGTTTGCAAGTCACACATTTTGGTTTTATGACTTTTTCCTTTTCCTCAAAACCTTTTAAACGAACTAATATTCTTTATGTTCATAATATTCACCAGAATTTGATTTATGTCCAATAACTTCACCCATTTTATTTTCTTGTAATGGATCAGAGTACGGGGATGACTCTTCTTCATAATAAATGTCATAATGGTGTTTATCCAATGCCGATGACTTTCTCTTCTATCAAGTCCTTTGCTTTAGCACTTGTTGGTAAACGAACAACGTCTGACATTTTCCATAGGCAATTTGAGCATCCATCAAATAAAATTGTTGATTTAATTATTCATCGCTTTCTCTTTCAAATGTAATGTCTCCTCCTTCCTTACAATCATTTTATTCTGCTTGTCAATGCAATAAGAGTCTTAAATTGCCTTTTTCTTCTATTTTTTTTTTATTAGTACTCATCCCCTTGAATATATATCTATATAGATCTTTAGGGCCCACGTCTCCAACTTCAATTGATGGATTTTATTTTTATGTGTTATTTGTTGATCACTTTACCAAGTATTGTTGGTTACTTCCAAGTCACAGCAAAAAGTAATGTTCACTCCATCGTGTGTCAGTTAAAAGGATTACTTGAAAAACAATTTTGTTTTCAAATTAAGCATTTATATACACCTCTATAAAATTATATTAATAAATGTTGTCATTATCATATTATTGAAACTAGACTAACTCTATTAAATCAAGCAAGGCTTTCTTCATCTTATTGGTCCTATATTTTGCAAATAGTGATTTATTTGATAAATCATATGTCAACTTTTGTTTTATAAAATTAGAGTCCTTTCCATGTATATTTGGTCGCTTACTAGATTATAAATAAAAAATATATTTTTTTTATTGTTATTATTATTTACGGCTAAAACCTTATACCACCAGTAAACTATATTCTAAATCCATGCCTTGTTTTTCGGTTACTCAAACTCACAAAATGTTTATAAGTGTATGGATCTTAATTCATCTCTTATTTACTTCTCTTGACATGTCATTTTTTTTATATATAATTTTTTTTTTCAACCTCTGTCCATGTTACCATGCCTTCTCTGTCAATTTCATGTGCTAATACATAAAATCTTAGAGGATCTGAAGGGGCGAAATGCTATGTCAGAGGAGTTTTATTGAGGCTGATGATGATTTAATTCAGCAATTCTATAAGAACGCACTATGACGGTCGTCACTAAGAATATGCACGCATTGCTTCGAGTGAATGGGACGAACAAGATCCCTTGAATGTTTATATAGTAGCTACAAATCAAGCCCAAAATGTTACAGATTACAAACAATGGGCTAAGAAATAAATATGTAGACAACAACAAAGAATTACTCGAGCAGTTCACGCGGAGTACATAATTCAATGAATCGATTGAATAACAAGAAGATATAGTACACCAACAGGAGTATTTTTGTAGAAATAATTTAAGCCACTCTTCGTGTGCAGCTCTTTGGCGTGTGGATGGCATGAAAATTCGGTTCCTTTGGAATAGTTGTTGACCTCTTCCCCTGTAGTGATTGCCTGGAGACAGTAGAAGCAGAAGCTTTGATTTCCGGGGAAGCACTGCTTTTTCTAGGCTTTTCAGCTTCTTTGGGTCTCAAGAATGTTGGCGAGTCTTCCTTTATCACACCTAGTTGACCAGGTATCATAATCGAGAGTGTTTCGTTTGTAATCGATGAGGTCCTGCAAGAGCATAGTGGCTTCATTAGTAGAGGGATTCCGAAATAACTCTATAATTAAAATAAGTTTTTAAAAGTAGAAACTCACTCTAGAGGCCTTGCGACTTTTCTCACAAATGATGATCTGGTCTTCTTCAAGACGTTCCCCAGATTTTGAGCTGCTGTCTTATCCTCGCTATATTTTTTCAGTGGGGCCACAAGCTTCTGTTGTGACGAAACTGTGTGTCTCTGTGGAGCTGAAGATAATTTTCGTCTTACTCTTTCTTTGTTCTTCAAGCTGGAAGTCTGGTTTTGCTACAAAAAGTATCATAATAGGAGGCTTGAGCCAGTGTCTATATAAACAAACATGGAAACCAAACCTTAATGTTTTTAACTGTTATTTTTACGCTTCAAAAGTAGATAGTCTTACATGTTGTTCCTTCTGTGTTGTGTTTCTTTCCACTTCACATGCTTCCTGAGTGTCATTGGCTGATTCGGTTTGTTCAAGGCTCTTGTCATTTCTCTGCAATTAGAATAATAATATCAGTCTAGTTGAACCATTGCTGACGGCTAAAAGAGCATTTAACTGAAAACTCACTGGCAATGCATTCTGATGTTTTTTCTGTAAATTCCCTCCTGGGAACCTCGTAACTGGCAGGATTTCTTTCAGAGGAGCAGGGTGGAGCTTCTTCTCTGAGATGGTCAGGATTTCTTTTAGAGGAGCAGGGTGGAGCTTCTTCTCTGAGGTTGCTTCCTTAAGAATCCCTCTTTCCTATATATAAATTAAGTATTCTCAGATTCTATTAAAAGATTACTATTTCTAAGACGTAGATAGGATAATGAAGTACATACATCAGTTCTCAGCCGAAAAGGCTTGGGATTTGTAGGCTTAGGTTTTCTATGTTTTAGTTCTTGAGCACCAGTGGCATGAGTAACGAAGCTCTCTTTGGATGGCTTCCTCTTTGCTTTGGCTATCTGCATCATTTCCGTATTCACAAAAAAATCACAAACAGAAAGGAAAATGAAAGAAAGAAAGTGATAAAAATATCCAGAAAGAGGAATGCAAGTTCCTGAAAGAGGAGTAAGTGACCTTTTGAGTGCTCTTCACACTCCCATGCTTGCCAAGGATTTGTCTTTTCAAGCGGCCAGTATTGAGATCCATTTCTCTGAAAATTCAAAACTCATTGATAAGTGATGGCCAAAAGTATCTAACAACATCCTATAAAAGACCGATGAAATTATTGAAATGAGTTTACTCACCTGTTATCATCAGAGGCAGAAGCATTTTCCTTATCGTCGCTCCCAATGGCTGCTCTGTCATTTTCCTTTTCATCTGAGATGAAAATATGTTTACTATCATTACTCTCCATGGGACCATCAATGCCCTTATCCATACTTGAGTTCCTTTTGTCTTCTTTTCCATGTCTTTCATTGGTACCATTGCCATCTTCTCTTGAAGCTACAAGTTTGGGAACATCATTTTCTCCCAAGCCCCTCTCGTGGATCTGAGAATAAAGTCTTTGATTTGGCTCATTGCATCCCGGGGTATTTTCCTTGGCATCTGACAAAGCTTCAACTTTGTTCTCAACCATCGATGCTTCTATTGTTACAGTTATTAAGGGTCCTTCAAGGGCATCATTTCCTTCATCACATTTAGCATTATAGCAGGCGCCAGGAAAACCATTTCTTGATTTCTCCTCAATCTCCATGTCAATGAAATCATTTTCAGCCCCTTCTCGAGGCATGGGACCATGACACTGCTTTGAGTTCTTTCCCTTGTTCTTTTTCATCACACATTTGAAAGATTTGGATTCCTTTCCCTTGCAATTTTGAGAAAGTAGTCCATCATAAACTCTGCTTTTAACCTCTCGTCCTCGTGGTTGTTTCCTTGGAGCATTCGAAGGCAATTGTCTATTACACACCAAAGCATGCTTCTTTCCATCAGCGATCTCAAGATTCTTTATACCTGCGCATATTTTCTTGACAGTTGTATCCAATTCAATTGAAGTCTTTGTCCTCGTTGACTTCTTCGGTGAATGAAATAATGCCTTTGCTACCAATCTACTATTTGGCACTGCAACGGCTGTTGCTTTCGGATTCCTAACACTACAAAATGCATCAGGATTTGACAGTCGCTTTTTGTTCCTTGGAGTTGTCAGAGCCTTGGATACAACAGATTGATTTGTCCTCACATTTGGGGTTGCATTTTGTTTAGCAAGGGACTTGACTCTCACTTTGGGATCAACCATTCTTTTAGATATCGAGGAAATGAGGGCCAATCTTGATACCCGAGGTTTTGAAGATTTTGCTGGAACTGTCTGGGGACATTTAATATTGGCACTGTCACATACAATTAGTAAATCATGTTAGTACAAATCCAGTTAGAGCAATAAGAGAAGACATTAAATATACCTTGAATCCTTTCTGTACAGTGCTCTCCGAAGCCGTATGTTGGGACTCCTTGCAGCCATAACCTGCATGACTCAATAACTTACTGCCTAAGTCTAAATTGATCTACTGTAGAATCCATCATACTGCAGAAAAGAAAGTGATAACTAACCCGTAAAACAAATTTTTTGTAGATTGCTTCAGAATCCATTTCTTCTTCATGCTTTTGATCACATCCTACAGCAAAGGCACATAGGATGCAGATAGAGAAATTCAAAATCTAGCATTTGAAGTCGCTCACAAAAAACAAAATGAAAAAATATAACCCGCTGATATAATCAAATACGCAAAATGCAGCTCATTTAGAATAATTCTGGAGAAGAATTGCAGTGGATTTCAATTAAATTTTTATTGAATTCACTTGTATGCAAGTATGTACGGAGTTAGAAACGAACTGGTATGATTTTGCAGATATTTACAATGAACCCTTTTTTTTTCTTTTCTTTCCTTTTCTTGATCAAAACATACGAACAACAAGCCCCATTCATGCTAATCAAGTCCTCAAAATTGAGAATTTGTTCATTGCATGATAGCCCTGCCAAGTAGTGGATCAATCAACACGAATCCATCATAACATGATGCTTGGAAACGCAAAAACTACATAGAATTCACTCCAGTTCTATCACCTTTCGCCATTTCCTTATTTGGTATATCTATTTAGCTTTTTAATTGAGTTCAAAAGGTTAAGAAATAAAATTTCATATGGAACGGATTTATGTTGATTTATTCATTGCATGGTGGATCTCACTACGCAAAGGTCTCATCCTCAACTTGGAAACTATTTTATCCACGTGTTTCAATAATAATAGAAAAAAATTGCCATATTGGAAATATTTATACCAGATAAGATTCTAACGTTCAAGACTACTTGGAGACATTGAATTGATAGTAAGGGAAATGCAATCTACAATCGCAAGTGACGCGCCCTCCCGCATCCAATCCAAAGATGCAGGTTGCATACGTCCACTGAATGCGCTGGGCTTCACATTACTTGCAAGTGAATGTAGCATTTCTCTTAACAACAATTAAACTAGGTTTAGTTTAAGGGTAAAAATCTGGTTATTACAAAAAAAAAAAAAGTTCTGTGGCAAGTTCACTTGATCTTTAATTAAAAAATTATCTGAAAGGACAAATCCAATTACGAGATAGTAAAAGACAAACAATGAACAGCATGAATTGGGCCCAATTCTATTCTACCAAACATGACGTTGCATACTTAATTCAAATAATGTTATCCAGGATAATTCCAACTCCAGCTCCACTTTATGACTCTAAGCAATCTGAAAAGAAGTCAGATTTCTACAAGTAGAGAAATCTCTTTCTTTTTAATATGTTCAAAACAAGATACACCAAGCAAGCAAAAGAAGTGGCATGGCATGCCATAGAGTGATTCATAGTTTGGACTGAGTTCCACACAATTCTTAACAAATCTGGTAATCAACAGACATTAATTAAACTTAAAAAAAATTAAATGCAGCCATAATCCTATTTTAACAGACGGTATTGAATTAATTGTGCTCTTGCTCTCTTAATTAACGTCATGAAGGAGACCGTAATCTCCTCCATCCTTAAGAGCCCTGTCTTAAACGACAAGTCAAGTCATCGACCGTTCATGATAGAGCTTCAGGTTTGAAGTAATTAGAGAAAAGAAGAAAACAAAGTTGAATTTACAAGATTTACCAACACGCAAGCAGAACCAATATCGGTCATCACCCGGGTGGTAGTGATCGGGAGCGTTAAGGTCCACGAACTTCGGCGCCTCGATGTTCTCGTAGAAGTCTTCTTCGCCGTTGGTTTTCAAACACTGAGATTCTTCTTCCATTTTCTCAGGGAGAGAGAGGACAGCAGAGAGAGATATAGAGAGAGGGAGCGGAGCGTTATTTTTTTTTGCGTTTGTGTGTGTAAGGGAGAGTGGAGCTGTGTGGAGAAGAATCTGTTGGATCGGTAATGGTGAGAGGATCGAGACGACTTTAAAAATAAAAATAAAAATAAAAAAACGAACGCTTTCCTTCCTCTCTTGCTGTAAGTAGCCGTTGGGAAAGGTACAAATTCTGACAGACACGATTGCCATAATAACCGATTCTCGTGTCTATTTTCGTCCAATCAAACAAGTTCAGACGACTGCAACCCGGCCCAGACAAGACCAGAAACACAGCCTTCCAGGGGCCCACAGTTCCATCTATCCAGTCCAGCCCATCTTTCTCTTTTGATTTTTTATTCTCTTAAGCACCATAAAGATATTAAATTAAAAAAATCATATATGGACTGGCTACGGGCGGGAAAAATGCATGGCTGTCTTGCCTACGGGTTAGATATATTACAGGTAATGTATATTTACCTTGAGATTATTAGACACTTCTTGTATACTAAAATAAATAAACCCACTTGAGCTCAGCTTATTCTGCCCAATTCTTTTAGTCTTTTTAGTCATAGTAATCTACATAGAATATCCATCTCCTCTGAATAGTTATGCAATAGAAAATTAAAATCCTTGCCAAATGCAAGCAAACGGCTAAACAATGTTTTTTTTTTTTTTTAATGTTTAGAAATGCATTGCAAACCTTGAAATTCAAAAAAAGAAATTATTTTTTATTAAAATTTAATATATTTTATATTATTTTAATGTATTGATATTAAAAATATTTTAAAAAAAAAATATTATTAACCTTCCACCACACTCCCAAGCAAACTGTAAATAAATAAGCTCAAAATAAACTGAGGCATTGCACCTCACAAGCCATATCTGAAGCCTTAAGCATTACCATCCTCAACAAATCGGCATTCCACCTTTTATCATCCCGACAACAAATACTTTTTCTCGGGGCTGTCCTGCAATGTCTACAGTATGGTTATCCGAAGAGATTGGGAAAGCACAGTTGAAGGACTGGTCATAAACCAATCAGGCGGCCCCTCACAATGACTAGTAAAAGCACAGGCAACATAGACATTCCAATGTTATTCAACGTTCACAATTTAAATCCTGTAATTATACAACCTGCTTTCCTGTGGCTGCAAACCATGGTGATGAAATGTGACATGTTTTATTCAAGGAATTTATTCGTGTGAGCTTTGATCCACCTCCTTTCAGGATCCATTCTTGATGATGTTTTTGAGTTTCTCATTTGCTGCCACAAGCTCTGTTGTTATTCCTGGTTCATTAGCAGAATGCCCTGCGTCTGGGACAACCTGTCCAAGGTGATTTCATATGGTAACTAGTTCAAATCTGAGGAAAGCTGAAAACGAAGCCATGGAGAAAAAATGCATAATCCCATGATCCATTCTTAACATGAGATCTGCTCTCTGTGTCAATCCAATGTCATCATCTATCAAGATTATCAATTGAAATAGTACATGCATAACTAGCCCATCCAATCATTCAAAGAAAAACATCAAGTGGCTTGCATTACAATTAGATGTAGTTGTTATATGCGCTGAAAAACATTAAGAATACTGAATGAAAAAATCCAGCAGCTTAGAGAAGTTCTCCTACCTTTAGATCTGCCTCTGGCCATGCCTTATGAAGATCCCAGGCAGACATCATAGGACAGCAAACATCATATCTCCCCTGCAACATAATTCAATTATGTTAAATAACAAATGTTTCACGCCTTTAACAATGCAGCAAAGGTTATCAAATCACGTGTTGGATCATGAATTCTACGGTTTTATGTTTCAAAATTCACTTGACAATTTAACTTGTCTAAGAAATCATACTAGAATGAGATTGAACTAAGATTGGTAACTGGATCATTATAATCGTGAGTTTACCAGCATTGTTAATGAGTTCAAAATTGAAAGGGATAACAAGTTTTTGACATGAGAACGGAAGTAACCGCTTCTCTCGTGCTGCTTTCCTCATGTGCTATTATTTACCAGATCTATAGTTGTCGCTTGTAATTTCTCTTCACCTCCTCTCTTCTCTCGATCATCCCATTTCCACTCTCTATGATTTAAAAGTCTTCAATCATTCTCACTTACTTTTATTCTGAACTGTGTGAGTTAAAACTAAGAATAAGAAGGATGAGAACAATCGAGTAAAAAGAGTGGTTAATAAAGTCTAGAAAAACAAAGCAAAGGAGCACACTTTTAGAAGATTTCAGGCACTTTAATGGAGTTATGGTGGAAAAACCAATGGTTGAGAAGATAAAGAAAGAAACCACATGATTTAATAATGTTGGACTGTTGCATATTTGACCAAATGATTCTAAAAGTATGAGGTGAAGAACAGCCCTTTCATGGGCTTGATTGTTTATGGGCCAAATTAAGGATTAATTTTATGGCCTTGATCAGTACCTTATTTGGTATATAACTGTGTTTTATTACCAAGCTGAGTTTTCTAGAAAAACTCTCTTTATATGTGGCTTCCTCGTCTGAATTTAGTATTTTAGCATTCATAAAAATATAGATCAGAAGTGTGTGAATAAAAATTGAAGATGGAGATTGAGTGAAGGAAGAATAAGTAGCACATTTTAACTTATTGTCGTTATTATATTCATAGTTTTAAAACATAATTTTATTTGTTGGTAAATCAGAAGATTCTTCGGACCCTCGATCGATCCTTATTAATAATAAAAAAAAAATATATGTATATAACCTTGGATTCAGTGACCACAACAAAATTGAATTTTGACAAAGTGATCAAATTGCAAGGATTGATCAAAACATAGGATGCTAACACAATCATATCAGAGAGCACATTATGTATGGTTTCATTTAGCACATGAAAATCTTTATTTGTCTGAAAAGATCACTCGTTTTCCAAACAAAGCACATAAAATGACAGTAGATATAAAGGTAACACATACCTGTACAATTGTAGTGTTGATGTGTCTTATTTTATCAACATTTTCTAATAGGAAAGAATCTGAAGGGAAAAACCCTTTGTTCACAAAGTAATGATTTTCAATCCTTGCAAATGCCTGAATAGAATGAAACAAGCAGGGACACATTAAAAATTTCAACAATCATGTCCACAATTCAAATTTCAAACATCTTAAAAATCAAAAAAAATAAGCAGTGATGAATTATTTATCTCAATCTGCTATAGTGAATTGAATTAAAAATTGAGATAAAAGATGACAGATTCTCAGCACTATATCAAATTTAAGTAAACGCTAGAAGCAACTATATTATAGAGAAGTTACAAGGTTGAAATGCTTTGGTTCTCAACAATAACACACGAACTTTTCACTCTGCATTTGGGCAACAACTGAAGAAATATGTCAGTGAGTTCACTTTTCTTGTGCAGTATCATGGGGCATTTTAGTTTCTCCTTTCCTGCTCTACAACAGTAGACTAAAGGAAATCTCAAGGAAGACATGTTTTGATGTCTCGTTGATGGAACAACACAGAAGCCTATAATAATTGATGCTAGATTGACTTACCAAGGAAAAAATATCATCATCCCCTCTCTTGACAGTCTCTTCATTTGGAAGAAGATGGGCAGTCATCATTTCCCATTTGGTCCATGCTCTTGCAGCTGCATACTAAGAAATTATGAGGGTAATGCATTAATTATTTCTATTGTAAGGACCCAGTATCAGTGTAATCAAAGGACATGACTTGATTCTCAACATATTTTAAAACTTGTGCATGCTCAAGTGTCAAGATCAGATAAATGGTCATGGTTTTCATATACAAATGTAAAAATTAGTGTTGTTGTTGTTGTTGAAACTAGAGCAACACAATTTTTAGAAATAAAATCAGTCAAAAAAACAGTTAGTAACTTACTTGTATTTCCAAATCATCAGAGTTCAATCTCTTGCTGTAAGCATCTATGAAACATCCCCTTTCATTTTCTGGAATAAAATCTCTGAATGACTCCCAAGCTGCATGGCAAGAGTCAGCTAAATATATAAGAAACTTCAAAAACACTTGTGCATGCTCAATAAAAAGAACCAGAGTTTTAAATTACTGGGCACAAATCAACGAAGCATTTCAAAGCAAGCTAATAAACATTCTTGTGCATGGTTTCTGAAACAAAGACCAGCCACAGCAGTTCCACGGTCCTCCAAATAAACATTGAAATTACCTTAATTATAAAATATAGTATCTAAGAATTGGAGGAATGCAAACACAACCTCCCTGCATGTACTGTAGGATGGAATAATAAGAGAAATAATCATCATCATGACAAGTATTTTAAAAAAAAATCATGAATTATGCTATCTACAAATTTATTAACATTATCTACATCTCAAAGCATACAGAGATGGAAATGCCAGCTTAAATTACTTATAGCATCTGAGCATGGTCATTTTTTTATAAGAATGTGAAAGCTTATTACTGCCAGCGAAAAAATGTTGGCGCACTTTTTCTTGAACACCACAACCCTCTTGTCCTTTGCTACCGCCAGCTAGCCCTTGGGCCTTTTTATTATCTCAACCAATCTATGATGCATATGTTTATGGTTATCTTGTTATAATAGATCATATGATGCATATGTTTATGGTTATCTTGTTATAATAGATCATATAAAGAATAGTATCTAGCATACCATCAGGAAATATAGCAGCAGCACCACCTTCATAAAACCAGTCAATCTCTTTCTTTCGCAAAAGAAAAATCCCTCGAAGAACCAGTCCAGTAACCTTAAAAAAACACAGAAAAAATATCAAAATATGATCAGTTCTGCTCCAAACCAAAGTTTATGAAATCTCAATGGCCTGGTTCCTGTTGTTTACGAGTTCCCACCAAAGAAACAGTGTCAGGTTAAAGAAATTATGCACCTTTTCAGGATGTGATTGGCTGTACGCAAGTGCCAGTGTACTACCCCATGATCCACCAAAGACCTGCACAGTAAGAGAATATAAACATCAAGTTCAACAATTTCACCCCCATTATAGAAAATAGAGTTTTCTTTCCGGATCAACAACTGGACAAAATTTTGACCTGCCATTCCGGAATTTTCAAGTGTTCCCTTAGCTTTTCAATGTCAGCAATGAGATCCCAAGTGGTATTTTCCTCCAAGCAAGCATGGGGTGTGCTCTTTCCGGCACCTCGCTAGGGAAACAAAACGAGAAATTAAATTTCAAATTGTAGAGATTAAATGGAGGCTCATAATTTATCATAGTGGATACTAGAATCACAACCTGATCAAACAAAATGATTCTGTAAAATTCAGGATCAAAAAATCTTCGGTTACTCGGTGCAGTTCCTCCTCCTGGGCCCCCATGAAGAAAGACAACAGGCTGCATAAGGGTAAGGAAATTCCTTTGTTCAAATATTTAGATACCTTTTCATCTACAATTTCTTAAGAGAAACATAGATTCATTCAACCGACTTTTAATAAACTGATCAACTACAACACTACGGAAAAGACTCAAACATATTGCAAAAACTAACATTAGGACAAGGGAAAGACTGCTACTTTCAACATGCATTTTCAGCCATGCTATTGTGTACAGTTTCAATTACCAAAACCCCAACAAACAAAAATACCCAGATCCAAAAAAATACATGAACATGAGAGTTGTATGAATAAAAAAGTAAATTTTAGAGACCACGGCTACTTACATGCCCAGAGGGACTTCCTGATTGTTCATAGTAGATTGAGTGAAGATCAGAGACCTTCAAAAAACCAGTCTCATAAGGCTCTATATTTGCATAAATATTCCTATTTAATTCCACTGACTCCTTGACTGGTTCCATGTACAACCCACTTGCCTGTGATTCACACTTATAATCAAGATTTCTCACACTTAACAGTAAACGATTCCTTCTTCCTGCAAAGTTGCACGAAACATTACTAGGATTACAGGTGTTTTCTGTGTATAAAAAGTAAAACCTAACGCACACAGAGAGAGTACTTACTGATGGAAAGACAGGAGAGTGAAGGGAGAAGAGGAGTGAGGGAAGGAAGGGGAGGAGGAGGTGCAAAAGAGACGAGTGAACTAGTGAAGCCTAAAAAACTCATGATGGTGGGCATATAATAGCAGCGTGGGTTCTGTTTTTGGATTAGCTTTAAGCTTACAAAGGTATCATGTTCAGATTCCAAGCCCAATTTTTTAAATGAAATATGCCCTTTCTTATTTTAACTCTTTCGGTGATTCTTTTATTATATTATTTTGGCTTTCAATGCTTCTTTTACATCTTATAAGTGGAATCCTAGGTAAAACGTTATTTTACTATTTTTTTATAAAAAAACAATTATAAAATATTATTTATTATAATAATATTTTTTTATTAGTTTTTTTTTATTTTTATAAAATCTATGTTTTTTATTTATTTTTATTAAATTATTCTGATCTTATAACTTATATCATGAGTTTAACAAGTTCATTCGGGTTGACTTAAATTGTTTTTTTAATTAATTTTATTTCAATTATTTCATTTAATATTAGATTAATTAAGAATCGTTTGGGTTATTTTTAAACTCATCAAATCAATTAGATCATGTTAAGTTATTTAAATAGTTGTATATTAAATATATTAAAATATATTTACCTATTCTAAATAATTATTGAAATGCACATGAAAAAAATAATCATGTTTATAATATTTAAAAAATCATATTATTAAATTAGCTCTTCCAAATAATATCTTCTAAAATATGCTTTAACACCCTACATGGCTTTTCTTCTTGTTATTATTGTTATTCTTAATTTTAATTTTTTATACGAAAAAACTATCAGGCATCTTCAAGGAAAGAGTTAGAAGAAAAGGAAAATAAATTTTGGCTTTCGTCTCTTACTTTTATAGCTTCGAGGAAAGAGTTATATTAGAGAGTCAAAATAACATTTATAAATTAGAGAGCTATTACTACTTGTTGGTAAAAAGAGTTAAAAGTGTATTTAATATATTTTTATGCAAAAAAAAAAAGGTTTTGATTAGAGTTGTATTGATTAGTTACTATTTATTAATAGCTTTATCAATATCAAATATATTAAAATACAATTAGTTTTTCTAAATAATTTTTTTTTTATTGAAGTGCATATACCAAAAAAAAAATGTTATATTAACACTATTTAAAAAAGCTATATTACCAATTTAGTTCCTCCAACTGACTTCTCACCTTGGATAAGCTTACTATAAGAAAATTTAATGGTAGTTGTCACTGCTATTGTGATGGTTCAAATGCTTGAACTCTGGACCCTTGGTTTCAAACCACTGTATCAAGAGATTAGAAGTGGCATTGGTTTCATAGTATAACTAGCTTAGAGGCACACTCTATGTTATTGATTTAATAAAATAAATAAACGTGAAAAAAAAAAATTAGGGTACATGAAACTATTTAGTATTATTATTTAATTTAATGAAATAGATTAATTTTAAAATTTCTCAAGTGATTGTTTGCCTAACTTATATTTAAAATTAATTGATATAAAAATTATTTTGACATGACTTAGATAATTTGATGAATTTACAAACAATCTAAATAATTAGTAAAAAAGTGGTATGGCTTAAAAAACAAGATGATATTTTTTTATTTTAATATTAAAATAATAACATATTAAATTATCTTGAGTTTCGTGACTTAACTTGTTAAACCGCAATCCAAATATAAATTTCATTGGATCTGACAACTTTATTTTTTTACTTAATGATATGATAACAAAAATAACACTCATAAAATTGAGTATTAGTCAAATACTAGGACATTTATTTGAGAATATAATAATTTTATAAAAAGCAAACTAAAATAAATTACGAAGATTAAATTAAAATGAAGTTGAATGATGTTAATGGAAAAAAACACAATAAAGGATTCAATCAAAATGAAAAAAAAATGGAATTTAAAAAGAAAAAAAAGAGAAAAAAAAAGGCTTCAACCCAGCATGTTAACCTTAAAACCTCTCATTCTATTTCATTACTCAATCTAAGTTTAAAATTAACTTATGTAAAAGTTGTTCACAATATGACCCAATTAGCTTGTAAGGTTTAAAGACAACTCGAACAACCAGTAAAAAACATAATTTAATTTAAAAAATAAGATGACATATTTTTTAATTGTTGAAATGATGACATATTGAATTGATTCAGGTTTTGTTGTTTAATATTTAAAACTTGTGATCCAAATTTGGATGCCCTAAGTTTAACAACTCTTTTTTTTAATTATCTTTTATTTAATGATATGATAACAAAAATAAATACTCATAAAATTAAACATGAATAAAATATTATGATGTTTATTTGAATATGTGATAAGAAGCTAGCATAATATTGAATTATGTTTAAGAACTTTGATTTTTTTAACTATTCTTTTCATTTAATGATATGATAACAAATATAGATGCTCACAAATTAAGTTTCAACCAAATATCAAGTTATTTATTTGAGATTGTAATAACCTCATAAAAATAATTATAAATAAATTATAAAGACTAATTTAAATCAATATATTATTAAAGGATAAAATTTAAAAAAAATAAAAAAAATTAAATTAAAAAAATTTAAAATATATTTTTTGTAAAGAAAAATGAGGGCTATAAGAGTTAGGGTATATCCCACCTTTTTAGTATAATAGATGCTAATGTTATTGTATATGTTACGCTACTTATTTCTATCCTAGTCTATAAAGTATTATTTTAAAAAGTATGAGTTTGTCACCATGCAAGACTTCATTGTTTATTATTTTAATTATTATTGTGGGATAGGTTGTGCAAAATTTTAAGGCTGTTTAATTTGATCCTCAAATATTTTTTTAGTGATTTTGTCTTAATTAAATACTAATTGATTTTTATTTTTTACAAAAAGATGAGATTGAAACAAGAGTGATCGAAATGAAAAGGATATCAAATATGGATGACATGCCATAAGTTTTTTAAAAGATGCAATTTTATTTTTGAACTTTAAAAATTACACAAATTATACAATTTTAGTACCTCAATATTTTTCTTATTCAATTTTGGTATAAAAATTTATTTTTGATTTTTTAGTTTCTGTTTGAGAAAGAAGAAGAAGAGGTCATCGAAAAACCAATTAATTTTGATTTCTTACGAAACAGTAAGATTAAAAAAAGAGTATTCGAAATGAAAAAGATATCAAATACAGATGCCATGCCATAAGTTTTTCAAAAGATGCATTTTAGTATTTGAACTTTAAAAATCATGCAAATTATACAACTTTAATACCTTAATATTTTTTTAATTTAATTTTGATTATTTTTTTAGTTCCTGATTAAGAGAGGAAAGAAAGAGAGGTCACTAGATTTCATCGATAGAGAAAACAAATAGTTATTGATACCAATTTAGGTTACTAAAATGAATTATATTTGTGTCAAATCATTTTATTTGAAGAAAAGAGTTTATATTAGGTATTTTTTTACCCTTAAAGTTTGTGAAAAAAATATTTCTTGGGTTAATTTTTGAATTTAGGTTGATTTATGTTTTTAAGGCTAGATAGATTTATCATAATTTTTATAATGTTTTATAAGTAAAATAAATTGAAAATAAATTTTTAAGGTAAAAAAACTTAAACTCTAATTTCTAGTAAGTGGCTGGACTTAGGACAAATCTAATAACATGTTGTTTGATTTTTTTCAAAAAAAATTAGAGATTGCAAAAAGAATTAAAAACCCAATTACATAGGCTCTGATAAAATGGATTAGGCAGCTAGGCCAACAATGCTTGCATTTTGCTACTTTTTAATTTTTTTTTTAAATCACTATATTTTATGATTTTTTCTTTAATTTTTAAATTTATATTTAAATCAGTACCCTTTCTCTTTTTCATTTTGTTTTAAGAGTCTTTTAAATGATTATTACTTTTTTTAGTTATGCATTTAAATTTGAAGATTTTTTTTCATTCATCTATAATTTTTTTTTATCTTTTAAATGGATGAACTTTACTTTTAAAAAATAATTTTTTTTTAATATGTATAATCTTATATAATATTTTTTTCTTCTATTATTATTTGCTTAAATAAATAAAATTTAATAAACAAATCTAGTAAACATAACTGGATAAAAATTTTATCTTTCAAGATTAAACATCTTGATTTATGACTGTCTCTCAGTTTTTGAAGTTTTATTTTTAGATATTATTAATAATTTTTTATTTTTTTATTTATATACATAATTCTTGATTTATTTGATTATATTTATGTATATAATTTTTAATTTTTAATTAGATTTTTTAAACTATAGAAATGTTTTGAAAAAAACTATATATATATATATAATTATTTTTTATAATAAATAAAAATATCCGATACATAATGAAGGAATATCACATAACTAGTGAATATACAGAAGAAGTACATGAAAAAAATGATATTATTTTTTTAATCGGAAAAAAATAGGATGTATGTATATTTTTTTGTACTTTATTTACTTGGAAAGTTAATTACAGTACATAATGACAATTTCTTTTATGACAGGGTAAGTAAAAAAGCATCTTTCACATAAAAAAGACCTTTCTTTTCAAGAAACTATAGAGACATCATTATGTCAGACAATTTTTTTTATTTTTTTATGATTTTATTTTCTAAAATTCTATCTAGTAAAAAACACCTTTCCTTGTTTATGTATTTTTTCTTATTAAAAAAAATACCTTTTTTACTCATAATATGATTTTTTGAACACAAACTTATAATGATTTGACAAACAATTCTTAATAAAAAATAAAAAAAATGTCTTGATAATTTTTATGTCACAATGTGAGAAAACAATGAATAATTAACTGAGAGAATTGTAATAAACATCACAATTAAAAATAAAAAATAAATATTTTATTCTAATTGAATATTCAAGAATCTTTTTTTTTAAATACACATATTAAATTCATATATGATATCATTATATGACTATTAAAATATCATTATAATTATTTTATTTAAAAATAATTTGATTTTAAAATATAAAAAATAAAACAATTATAAGAGGGAAGGCCCGAGAGAGTCCAGCCAAGCCCTATATAGAATTAAAAGGACGGATAAGGCATGCTTAAGCTTTGCAAACCAGTAGGAAAATAAGCTTATCTTTTAACAGAAGTTTGCTGGAAATC